AAATTCCCATAAGTTCCCGTATAAATTCCCAGGAAAATAGGTAAAATTTACAAAAATACTAAAAAAAACTTTAACAAAAATAAAAAAAAGTTAAATTTTAACAAAAATAAATATTTTTAAAAAAAATTTTAAAAATTAATAAAAACTTAAATTTTAGCAAAAAATAAAATAATAATGTATTAAATACTTAAAAATAGGTGATAAAGGCATTAATGATACACTGAGTTTTTTAGTATTTTAGTAATTTTTAACTTTTAAAATAATTTTTTAAATAATACTTAATGCTTATAGTTTATAGATATATATTTTTATTTTTTAATGTTATTTTTATGTAAATACTGATTGAATACTAATTATAAAATTAAAAATATTTTAAATTTTTTAGTTAAAATTTTAAAAATTATTAATAAAAACCTTGTAATATAAGTATTTATTTTTTTATTAACTTCTTAAACTATCTCAAACTTCTATTTATATTGTAATATGATTATTCTTTTCAACAAATTGGTATTTTTTAACTTTTTAGTTTAATATTTTAAGTAAAATTATGTTATTTTTTGATGAGTTTTAACGTTATTTTAACTTTTTTACTTATTTTTAATCAATAATTAGAATCATATAAATTTTAAAAACATAAAAACACTTACTAAAATAGTATTAACTAAAATTAAAATTTTTATAAATCTCAAAAAAATTTTCGGCGCCTTCGGCGCCGAAATTTTAGGGGGGGGGGGGGGTCATTTCTCCTCGTTTTTAAGCGACAATTTTTCCCATTTGGTCAAAAAGTCTGGGGGGGGTAAAATCCCAATTTCTCGATCTTAGGGGGGGTATTTTGGCCTTACCCCCCCTACCCCCCCCCCTTACTTAACCCTGATATATAGGTCTTATATATATAAATACATATTTTACTCTTTCTGTACATTATTTCTTTTGCTATAAGATTATCTCATAAAACAAATGAAACATTTATTATATGACTTTTATTATTAATAGGTAACCTATTCTGCCTCTCACTCAGTGGTGTAAAACATTATAACAGAATTATTGATTTGCTTTTAGGTTTTAAATAAAACATTATTTCATTCATTATTTTAACAAACATTATATAATAATAGCAGTTTTCTATAGCAATACACTATATTTTGTTTATATTTACAGAAAACATTGACAGTTATCTCAATGGAAACGACCATAAATTTAAATTAATTGATTTATAGTTCATTAGTATATAAAAACAAAATGTTAGTCATCTATAATCATTTGTTTTATGTAATATAAATATATATTTTATGATTCATTTTTACGATAAAATTATATATGGATTTCATTATATATGAAATTTATAGTTAACATAAACTTTATAATAATTATTATTATTTCAAACATCAAAGATTTTTAAAGTGTGTATTTATACTCAATAAATACTCATAAATTATTTTTGGATATATTTTATGAATTTAATTTTATATTTATTATTATTATTATTATTTTAACAGTCTTATAATTAACAAATTATACTGTACTAAAAGTTTCTGTAACAAAGTATAAATTATATAATGTAATATACAAAATAACATATACTTGAATTTTCAGTGAATCAAATATTTGACTGAATTACAGTCATCAGAAAATATATCAATATTATTGAAAATTGTACATGGTCTTATTTAACTAATTAAATTTGGATAACTCTAAATGTATTACCAGATTATAACTATGTTAATAATAATAATAATATAATATAATATTAATAATTAATCTGTATATTTTAGCTATAAAATTTAAGCTTTACATAACTATGTAATATTATATAAATGAATTTTATAATAAAACTATAATTTGCATAAAGTGAGTGAAATACATGTTTATACGAGTTTAGCTTTATATACAAATTATATTTTAATTGCTATATTAATTAATGAATTAAATTGTATTATTAATAAAATAAAGAGTAATATTAATGTACTCTTTAATTAAAATCCAGTCAATACTTTACGTTTTGTTAACACTGTGTATACTTTTTCATTTAATAATAAAAACTTTATTCAAGTAATGATAAAAAAAATAGAAAATACATTTATAATGCCGATTAATGGCGATTTCAATAAAATTGTATTTAAAATTTTACATCAACAAATATAAGATAGATAAATTAAATTATATGTTAATATATAGTATTATTATAATCAGTAATGTTAAATATAATATTGTAAATATAAAACATAAAAGTTTAATAATAAATGTATAGATAATAATATTAAAGAATAAATACTTTAAATCATATTCAAAAATATATTAATTAAAACATTAAAATTATCTTATATATGATAAGGCGTGGTTCACATATTACGTTCGCACTTTTTAAGAAATCTAGACCTCCTCCCTCCCCTATGTTCGCAATTATTCGCATGTAGTCATTTAAAAAAATTACGTTCGCTTGTCCCTAACCGCTACCCCCCACACCACAAGAAATAAAATATTATCTGAATGCGAACGTTCTTAATGTCTCTACCCCTCCCCTCCCCTCCCCTTGTTCGCTAAAGTTCACTTTGGCTAACCCCCCCCCTCCCTCAAGTGCGAACGTAATATGTGAACCACGCCTAATACTGAAAAAAGAAAAAGAAATAATTTATAATACAAATAATTTAATACAAAAAAATAAATACTATTTGTTTAAATGTCGATATCTATTAAAGTTAAATTAATTATGTATTCATTTGGTAGACAAATAATAATAATATTATTAATAATAGAGAAATAAAATAACAAAAATAAGATTTATTTTTATACTGAAAGTCTCAATAGAGTTGTAAAAGTTTTTAAGGAAATTACTCTTACAATACAAATGTTGTATTGAAAAAACATTATAAGTGATGATTTTTTTCCCGTTAACCTGTGATTTCTATGATAAACGTTTTGTCTCTTATTATTATTGTTATCATTATTAATAATAACTATTTTTTCCTTATCTCCTAAATGTTTTTGTAACACTTGCAATGTTTTTCTATAAATACATTACATAAAATATACAATTTAACAAACTAGTTGTACATCAAAACATTTAATTAAATAAAAATTGATTTTATGAACAAAATAATTGACATCAAAATTAAATGGTTGACAGTAAAGCATTTATAATAACTAAATATTATATTCTGAAAATTAAAATTTGTATATTCGTATGAAATAAATAATAATTTTTAAAAATATTAAAGAATATTTAGAAGTAAAGCATTTGATCGCATTTTATATGACATTATTGATATAACATTTGCGCTGACAAACACTTAAAAATTACTGAAATCTTCAAACAAAATCTACTTTAAATGCCTTTAAGGCAAACACACACACACACACACACACACACACACACACACACACACACACACACACACATACATACATACATACATACATACATACATAAGAATAATTTCAGTTTTCTTTAAAATTTATTTACAATAATCATATTTGTATTTATCATCAAATGTTAAGCAATATACAGTAGATTGTAATACTACATATCATTTATTGATATAATAGAGTATGAAATAAAGTTTCCAGTAAATACAAAATTAGTATCTACTTTATATGTAAAAAATTTGTTAATAAATATATAGTTGTTATCTATTTGGACATTTACTGAAATATAACAAATAAATTGAACATGATAATTGAAGTCAATATTACATTTATCTAAACACAATGCATTGTTTAATTATTTTAATTAAAAGTTAACTTAAGTTTCCTGTTCAATTTGCTTTATTGCTGTATAATAAATTAAAAATAAAACTTTATTACATTACTTTATTTAAGTGTTAAACTATTAAAGTTTTGTAAACGTATTTGTTTTTATATAAACCTAATTAATTATAAAAAACACTTAAATTAAATAAATAAAATTTAAATAAATTATAGACATTTTATTCGAGGAAAACAATGTCTTTATTTAGTAAAATGTTTAATTGATTAGTCAAATATTGCACTAATTTTTTTTATTAACTTAATGTAAATATTGTTGACTCATTGAAATGTAGATAAAATAATTAATTTAATATATAGTACTTTAACATAAAAATGAATATATTACAAAATATGTCAATTTATTAATTTAACTATTTACCTGTATTTGATATTTATCAGGGTTGGAAAAATACATGGTTTTGAATTTTGACTTTGTATAATACAGTATAACACGCTTTGTTTTATACAAGCATTTTGTCAACACTGATATTTCTCCATATAGATCTATAATTATTTATTTAATTTATAATAAATATGACAAATAAAATTTTGAATTTTTAAAAATACATACAAAATTATCTTAATAGAAAATAATAATCTTTATTTATATAAATTACATTATTTAAGAATGTAATCACATATTATTATAATATATAAAAATAATTTGAAGTAATAATGCGTTTATCGTATATCCATACAAATAGTGTAATACATGTAATAAACAAATATTATGTATTATGTATTAAAAATAACAAAATTATCTAAACTATTAATATATTTAATTCATATTTCAATAAATAAATCCAAAAATGATATTAACACAGTATTAAATATTTTTTATATCGCAGTGATAATCAATTGTGAGATTCAACTCAAGACAATTTAAGACTAGTGTTCAATAACTATATCACATATAATACAGTATAAGTTATAGAGTTATTGATATTATTTTTAACACATATTATCCTCAAGTAATGACATATTGTATTACTTAGATTAATGTTTATATACTGTATATATATATATACTATACAGTACAGTATATTGTTAGAATTAGGACCACAATAAATCATCTATACTTAAAATATATATAAAACAACTACACATAAGTTATAGTAATGTAAATATTATGTCTCTTTTTCATTAAATTTAATATAAGTAACAATCATTCAATAAAAATTTACCAATATAAACCATTATCAAAATTTTACTGTCATTCATATTTTTTTTTTTTTTAATTTCATTGTAAATAATTACTAAATTTGAGATTTTTTGATAGTTGTGAGCCATTGTCTGGTATTATAGCAAACCTGTTTGGTGCAGAGCGGACACGGGAGCATCAATTGTGGTGAACATATTTCACCCGATTCTATATGTGACTTAACTAAAGATGCCATTCCTCTTATAAACGCTGGATGGATATTAGGTGCTGGACAGCGCCTAACAGTTTCTAACTTTAACTATAATTTCAATAAAATAAAAATCAATTTATTTAAATAAATAACACTACGATTACCTCTTCAGCTAATTCCTGTCCGTATTCAATGTCTAATTCGTGTAGTGTTTCGATGTGTTCGTTAACAAATGCAATCGGTATTAATAGAAAATTTTTATAACCTTTTTCAGCAAAACCTAAATTTATAAAATCGTATGTATATTATCATATGTATTACCAGTAGTTAAAACTGATAAAAATGTGCCATAAATTAATTATAACAATGTTATTATAATTATGTTAAACCAACCCTTTAATGCCTCATCAGTTTGCGGTGCGAGCCATGACATGGGGCCCACCTTTGACTGCCAGACCAATCGATAGGGATATTTAAAGTTAAGTAATTCCATAACTTTAAGTACTGTAGCGCCCACTTCTGCAGGATAGGTATCTCCCTTATTGACGGCCTAACAGTTAATAAAAATGATTGCATTAATCTATTTAAAGCTCTTTAAGTGATTTCAGTCTAATTTTAAATCTAAGTGAATATCTAATTAAATAAATTGAATGAACGGAAATGTGTTTACACTGAGAGGGAGGGCGTGTGCAGAGAAAAGTAGTACTGTTTTGTTGCGTTTGTCTTCAGGAAACTCAAGCATTTCCTTTTGGATCAGATCTGCAAATGCTTCAATGAGACCGGCATTTGTTGGCCATCGATCGATAAAAGACCAACGCATTGATGGCGAACTCGTGGCACCGATACTTGATATATAGTGTCTGGCAATGGCATTGATACTACTGCCAGATGTACTGCAAGAGTATTGCGCGTATTGACAGAAAGCTATGGCATTCTTGACTCCATCTCTACAATACATAACAAAGTTTACAATAATTATTGAAAAACTTTTAAACTATTTTCAAAAACCTTTCCATTGTTTCAATCGCTTCTTCAGTCAATGGCTTTGCGTACCGAAAGCCAACGTAAAACTTATGCGGCGCTGAGTCCGGACTTATCTCATCTAACATTTTAGTCAAAAGTAATCCTTGTTTTTCTGTCCACTGTTTGATTGGTGATCCGCCACCTATTTGGCCGTACTTTTCTTGAATCTTTGGTGTCCGCCTTTTGGCTATAAGTGGACCCAATTTACTGTCAATTATCAATTAGTTTGCCATTAAATAACAATTATTGACAAATCAGTCAAAAGTTTTAAAATGAAAACATATACAGTATATCATATATTAATATAAATTGTCGTATTTTTATGATGAAAACCTTTGTGCTGGCAATGGTATGATATCTTTGTCGGTAAACAATCGCGTCAGGAATGGTTGTACTTCATCGAGAGTGTCGGGTCCGCCCATATTCAACATCAATATACCGGTGCGGATGTCATGGCTTTGTCTTGAGCTATATTTGTTCACCAATTGATTAGCAGTGATCAGCACTCCTTCAGATGACAACATCAATATCAACACCAAATGTTAAACAAATTATTAATAATTTTGTGATCAATACTTACTTTTATTTAATGATAACATTATATAAAATGTATTATTATTGACAAAATGTTAAGTAAATCAAAACAAACAATAATTACAATTATATAGAAATTAAAAACATATCATATGTTTATCTACACTATTATAACATTCAATGTTTATGTCTATCAGTTAAGGGCCACGTGTTTAGTGTTACACAACATTTGTTTGGTATTATTAATAGTGTTTTATATTTGCATCAATTAATTATAAATAACTGTTTATATAATTATTTATTATGGCTTATAAATGACAGTTCATATTAAACGAGTTATACTAACGGTAACTAAAGTCATAAACAGTATTATACTGTACTGTACTTTACGTTATACAGGTATTAAAAAGACATTTCATGACATATCATGTGTTAGTGTAAAATAGACAACTTTTTTCAAATATACTCCGATTCCTGTTTTTTGTCTGTTATAAAAAATTAGTTAATTTGTATTACATATTAAGTGATCAAACAATTAATTATTTTGAAACCATGAGTGATACAATAATTATACATTTGATAACATTAGTACAAAATCTAAAGTTTCACAAACAATATCTCAATCCTTATCAATAGTTTATTACAGAAAACCTGTCGGTATTTAGTAATTGAAATAACCTTTAATTAATTACATTTGCAAATTTAATGACAGTTATGTATTTTATTAGTTTTATTGTAATTTATTAGATTTAATTTTTTAATTAAATTACAGTTTGTTAAATGATGTTATAGTGAAAATAATAAATTAAAAATAACAAGGTACTTTATCTCAATTTTGAATACCAGTCCTATTGTATTGTTTTAAATTAATTTTTCCATTTTCTCTGATTTTCTCTGTTTAATGGGATTATCTCTATTGAAACCCTAAATTGTATATTTGTAATGTAAAATGCAATAAAAATTTCTCATATGCATTATAATTATTATATATAGTAAATTTAAGTCAATTTTTTAAAATAATTTTTGTTGACTTAAACTTAATATAGTATGGGAATGGGATCCTTAAAAACGGTAATATTGGATTAATTAAGTAATTAATTAATAAGTTTGTATTAATATTATTTTTAATGCCTACGATGACTACTACTGCCCCATAGAAATGTTATTCAAGTTATTTGTTAATATAAGTTGCATCAAAATGTTATATAAATAAGGAAATCATGATTTTTCAGGAAACATGTTTCGAGTGGTTTAATCAGTTTGTAATGGTTGGCACTGTTAGCACTGTTTAGATGACACCCCAGTGTAACTCCTGAGCTCGCAATTGGGGCCATTTGGTGGCCCCGGAGTCGCATACCTGCTATACCGTTATGCAGGCATTACGAGCGCATACCTTATATTTAATTGTATGTAACTTATATACAGTGGCATTGCATACAAGCGTTTGTAAACTTTTTTTGCTGTAATAACTAAAGTTTACGCCTATTTAGTATGGCTTAGGTATTTGATGGTATGTCCAATAATGGTGTGACAGTATCAGACATACCACCCCATGGATGTGTTAAGTATGATAAAAGCATAGCACCTGTACTTTAAGTCTGTTTACTTTTACTGAACGTAATATATTAATACGATTCAAAAAACTATTACAACTCTGGCTATAGGCGCCTGTAATACAGTATATAGACGGCATACCTGTGTATACCTGCATACCTGAGCCAACCTGACTATGCATTGCACTCATTATATATACATATAATAGACAAACATTTAGGAGTTCAACACAACAGCACTAAAAAAGGTAACCATTTTTCTGATAAAACTTTTTCATATTTCATATGAAGTTTATTTTGTGGCACCAATTGTTGTACCAACTAATGGGACAACAGTTACCTAATGTGTGACAATTGTGGCACCAATTGAAGTGGTCTTTAGTGATAGTTATGGTCATTATATCATTATTAAAGCAATGGTTTTAGTAAACTGATCGCCATTTTATATTATCTTTTAGTATATTCAATGATGAGTCAAACCAACGGCTCAATCAATCAATTGGTTTACTAAAACTTTTTTTAAATATTCAATTAATTGATACAAATAAGTGATCGCAAAGTTCGTGAGTTTTTAAAACAATTTAAGACATATTTGAGTTGAGTTATACTCTTTGATCCAAACAGTTGTTTAACTCGTACCCACTTTTTCCCACTAATTATCGCTGCAATTGATTTGTCAAATAATAACTAACTTTTAAATTGTGTCCATTTTTTTAAATGATTTAATGTCATAAGTAGTTGTAAATATTATATATCTATATATATAATGTGAATATTATTTACAATTAATTGTATTTTACACAAAATGTTTTGATAATTTTACAAAAAAGATTGTTAATATTTATAAAAGTCACGTAACTATCAAATAGTAATAATTGCTATCAAATAAATTATTATTAAATTTTTTTTAGTTAATTCATACTTAGTTTTATGTACTAAATAATTGTCACAATTGTTTTATTATGAGTAACACCCAGTTATATACATATATACTGTATATCATAGATCTTAAAATAATTTAATATTTATTATAATGATGTTTATGTTATTTAAAAGGATTGGCCGATAAATCGGACACTTATTGTGATCCGCGATGGCCTCATCACCAGCACACCAGACACCGACCTATTCGGTCGAACATTTGGCCACTTTCTCGACGACATCACCTCAACAACAACAGACAACACCGAAGATGGCATTACAGCGATTGTTTGCAATGGAGAAGACCTCAGGTATGTCTATCATAAGATTAATTATTACATCTCATAAATTTTAGTTCATTTTTCATTAGTTTATTGATTATTTTTTTGTAAAAAATAGCAATTGTTATATTATCGGTGCCATAAAGATTAACTATATTTACTTAGCATTTATCTCTACATAAATATTTTATTTACTTTAATCTTTTTTTCTTGTTTAATATCTACAGTATAGTGAAGCCCTTGAATACACCGATAGCTAACTACTCCTGAATTTGTTTAATATTATAAATATTTAGTAATACTTAGGAATATAATGCTTTAGTTTGATAGTTGTCTTATTAAATGACATCAATAATATTGATAGTAATTATCTTAAATAAATGTCAAGATGTTATTAATATTAACACTTAGAGTAGTTATATATCCTATTTCTAAATGAACAACAATTTCCTAAAAATAAAATGTTTATAATAATAATAATTAATATATTTAGGAATTTGGACGCAGAGAATGGCATTACAATTGAAGGGTATATTAATACACTGATAATCAGTTAGGATGTCATTAATAATATGATTTAACGACATATAAAGGCAATCATATGTGGATATTGGATGGCGAGTCCAATGATGTTGTCGAACGGTTTCCCGTTTCACTCATACAAAGTCCAACCCCTTTCAACGATCACAACCATATTTATAACAATATCCTTATATTTACCGTACAATTACCTAATGAAAATCAAGGTAACAGTGCCCACACATACACAACATTATTGACATAAAACATGATATAACGACATTTGAATTAACTGTAGGCGAATTGCATATATTTCAATGTGTTTCACACAATGCCATACAAATTGTTGAAGACATCCAACAATGGATGAGACATTATGGAGCTAACAATCATAACGAATCCTCAGCACAGCCTAATGTCAGTGTCAAAGAGACTGTTAATGTATTCAACAAAATCGCTGCACAACGAGAAATGTATTGCATTTATCCATAGTTTGTAATTTAATACTAAAATAAACTAATTATTAATACAAAAAGAAAACCATCCTCACCTACCGGTGATGGCCAGACACGGCTTATTGCCAATTATGAGCCCGACTCCCGATCCATAACAACCACCAGTTCTATAGATTCTAGCCATCATAATGGTACCAACAGAACCGGTAGCCACGATCAGGTGTGACATTTTATTTATATTTTTTGATGATTATTGTTTAATCTAAAGTTTTATTCATAATTAAGTCGTTAAATAACGAAAGATATGTTTCAATACTTAATCATTGTTTTGATGACATCGAGAGATTTATTATTCGTTTACAACACGCGGCCGCAGCGCTCCGGGAGCTGCAGCTCCGTAATCATAGGAGACAAGGTTTTATAACATACAATTTACTAAAATCAATTGATCACTTTATAATTAAAATTTATTTCAATTAGGTAAAGGTGCCGCACATGCGGGAGATGGACTGTTGGCTATGAGAGCCCGCGGGCCAAATGAAAGTGAATTTTTTGAAATTTTAAGCAAATTTAAATTGGCTTTCAATCTATTAGCCAAACTTAAAGGTTTGTTGTTTGATAAGTCATGTGTTAAATGATTTTACTTTATGATATCAATAATGAATTTGTCACCAAATAATAGGTTGTATTCACGACCCAAATGCACCCGAATTGGTTCACTTTCTGTTTACTCCGGTTAGTGTCGTTTAGTCATAACCATTAAAGTCGACATTAATGATGTTATGCTAATACTATATCACTTTTTTATTGTATTTTTTTATTCAAAATAGTTGGCGATTATCATTGAAGCGGCGAGAAGTAATGGTTCGTTTGTTTTTATTGCATCGTTAAGAGGTTTTACTCATATATTTATGTTATTTTATGCTAATACAGAGCCACCAATTGATCCGTCCATTGTTGGAGTACCGTTTCTTAACTACGAAGCCATTGATTTACTTTCAAACTGTTGCACCAGCAAAGAGTTTGATTTATGGCAATCATTGGGTCCAAATTGGGTTCAACCTATTAAAGTATATTTTGTAATTATTTTAATTATAATTGTTTTTTATTAAAAATGTCTTAATTTTATTAGCATAATACAAGACATAGCTCCTCCTATCAACCAGTCTTTACCGATGGTTGGGCTCCTAACATAACAGAGCCTGAATTAATAGGCATTGCATCCGAATCAGAACAGGAGGACGACTCGATTCAATTACATAGAGATGAATCTAATTTCAGAAACAGAAGAGATGTCAATTCAAGAGAATATCAAAGGGGACCGCAATTTGATGACAGCGATATTGACGACAATATTATTGATGGCAGACATATTCAACATAGAAGTAATTATTTATATTTTTTATTTTCCTAATTACTTATAAATACAAATTTATTAATTTAAAATGACTTTAGTATCGCCATCGACCTCATCGCACGCAACACGTGTTGTTCGTGGCAATACACCTCCTTCTCCTATTGACTCCATTGAACGCGATTCACCTACAGTTCAGGTCAATGAATTAGATCAGTCCGAGTGGTTGGCAGAGTTGACCGCCAGGAATGCCAAAATAGTTCGGGTACTGTTCCCCCGCACCGCCAACAATGATAAAGAACTGACTGTCATTAGGTTTAACTTCTAGTATTAATTTATTTGTTGTGTATTTTATTTACAATTATTATTATTATTTTAGGGGAGAAATATTAGAGATATTAGATGACTCAAGGAAGTGGTGGAAAGCTCGTAATTGGAGGGGACAGGTAGCACATGTACCCCATACTATTGTAAGCGAAATTCCCATACATATGACCAATGGAAGAGACCGACATTTAGGCAGTTCCTCACCAAATGATGATTGGGTTCGACGTGAAAGACAAGGTAAAAAAGGAGAGTTTAGATATTTCTAAGGAACCGACGCTTTCATGTAGACGTCCTGTCGCTTAATATGTCTATTGATTTAATTGTTGCTTCCAATGATTTGTTGTTATTTGTAATCAATATTTTTATTAATCATTATATTCTTAACATTTATAATGTTATAATTGATTATTTATAAATTATTTTTTTATTAATATTGTTAAAAAAATTTATAAATGGGAGGCAATAGTTTTTGCAATGTTTTTGTTTGATCTGATAGAAAGCTAAGCTTTTGTAATTCATGACATTTTATTATATATATGTTTAAAAAATGACATCACAATTATTGTCCTAAATTTGTGGTCATCTGGTTATATGTTATCATTAACTTTTTAACAGTGAACTCAACAAACATATTGTAATATACGGTTCGAGCAAATTGCAAACCTTTTGCAAATTGGGAAAACAGTTTATTAGTGCCAATCTATCAATGAGTAGAATTGATTAAATGATTTATCAATTTTTAATACATTTTTGTCACCAATCTATGGCAATACATTATTTGCATTTTGCTTAAACCGAATATTATATATAAAAAATATATAAATTATACTTAATTGTAAACATAATAAATGTCTAATTTATATGTATTTTATCATACAGTAAATAACATTGTTATACACTATTAATTTATATCACATTATACAACATAAAAATGGTTTTTTTTAAAATAATTTTTAAGTAAACAAAATTTATATACTTTACCGGTATTATAATATATTTTAATTACTTTAGATCTGAATTTTATAATTATTTATACACTAACTGACAACTATACCAGTGCCTTTACTGTGTGCCTAATATTTATGATATTTATATACAGTATGAATTGACAATAAATGAAATTGTTGATTAATTATATGATTGTTTATAATTTTAAATTAAAATTAATATCCGGTCTTTTTCGCAATCAAGTCATAAGCATATATTGACTTTGTATTGATAGGTAATTATTTATATTATCAGTAAAAAGGAATTGTTTTAGTCTTTAATTATATTATAATAATGATAAGCAAAAGTCATAAATTAGAGGTTTGTAATTAATTTAATTTAGAAAAAAATGAATGATTGATTGGCAAATTTGAAATTCAATATTTCATTTAGTAATCATTATTGATTATATAAAATTTTAAGAATTATATCAAATTTAAGTTGCAAAAAATAGATACATAAAATTTATTTGATATTAAATTATATTTGGTTTTACTTTTACAATAGTTATTAGGAATAATATTCATTTAAAACAAAACAATGTTATGAGCAATAATACTAATATTAATCACTAATTTATTAAGTTATAACGATTAACAATTTACAATTGTGTTATAAAGTTGATTTTTGCTTATAATTTAGATGTCTCATTGTACTTATTATTGTTTGCTTAATTTTAATTATTAATTATATTAATATTTAAGTCTATTTGCAATTACATCTATAAAATATGATAGGTTATTATTTTTCATTGCTATTAATACAATAATATATGATTAAAGGCTTAATTAATTAAATAATTATAATTAATCATAAATTTCTTATATTTTGCATGTAATGGTGTTTTTGCAATATTTACAATCAATTTGGTGGTGGGTTTGGCTTTTATTTTACTAATAAAATTACGATCACATTGTTTAATGCAATGATAATATTAATTTAAAAAATTAAAACTTAAAGTAAACGAAAGTCGTCAACAAAACGGTATACAAGAAGTGCACAAACATAACCACATTAATCAAACGGTAATTATTGACATAATTATCTAACATAAGCTTTAATACATCTAATTAAACCTTTTCCTGCTATTATCGCTGTCCTCTGAAAATCATTACTGAAAAAGAGGTCACCGGATAATGAGTCACCACTTGATGAACAAAACCAATTAATTTTAGACAACAATCAATTTAAAAGCAAAGTTGAATTAAATAGACAATTGAATGAATCGTTCAAAAATATATCGGTTAATAAACAAAACGGTTTTCCTAAACGAGTCGAAAGTCTAGACTCGGATCGGGTGAGTGTCCAGAGTCAGGTCAGTACGATTAGCTTTCAGGACGAACTGTCCGCTACATTAACTCGAAGGAAAAATGGCACCAAAAACACAATTATTACTTCAGGTTTAGTTTTTTTAATTGTTAATAAAAAATTATTTATATATTAAATAATTAATGATTTTGAAAAAAAATTAGATGAACCTAAAAGAAATAGCACTGAAAAAAGCAGTGAATTGACAACAAATGAGAGCAAAGAGCTGACACTTCCAACACTTATTGAACACTTGCACCGCAAGAACTTTCATCCGAGACTTATATCAAAACTTACCGAATACTCGCGCAACTGTCCAAATGCTGTCCACTTCTTCATTACGGCCACTAAACAACAACTTCGAGTATGAATTGCACATAAAATACTGTATATAATAATAATAATAATAATAATAATAATAATGATTCACATCTAACACATCCAACACATCGATAAAATTACAACCTTTTAAATTGATTGTCTCGTCTATCGGATAATCAAATTGTTTTGTTTTGTTATTTTTTTAATTGTTTAGTATTAATATTATTTACTCTTTTATTCAATTCAATTAACATTAGAGACGTGATGTTTAATTAAATTTATATCCTATAATTTGTGATAATGTTTTAGTAGATATTGTAGTATTAAATTAGTAATTACAGTGATATGTAATTATTTTTCTAAAGTGAATTTTAAGTTTAAATAGTTTACTTAATATAAAATACACATATTTTAATAATTTTAACATATAAATGACAAAATTTGCAGTTATATTAATTAAAAATATAAAATATGGTTATGCATTACTATAAATACAATAATTTATGATTAATTTATTTAAATTAGGATATAATACCCACTGATGTTGCGGATGATATGGCTGTACAGAGACTTCACAGCAATCTATTAATCGTTAAAAATTTGGTGAGAATTTGATAAATATCATAATAAATATTTTTAAAAATAATATCTATTATTTAATGCAATATTTATAGAGTATTTCATAAATATATGAGTTTTTCCATTACATTTAAACATTAGTTTACATATAAACTATCATTATTGATGAACCCTTTCCGCCCACTTAACCATTAATTATTAATAAAATACTACATATATTTTTTCATAAGTTTACTTATAGAAAATTTTTTACAAAATTAATTATATTTGTATTATATATTTTTTAAATAATATACACTTTTGTAAATAATTTTATGGAAATTAATTTTTAATATGATTGATAATTTTTGATGATAATTTTTAATTTAATATAATTTAATTGATTTTTAAAAATTTTATTGTATAGATCTAAATTATATATATATATATAATAATGATTAACATATATAAAAATTTATATTTATTAATTGTTTTTATTTATAGCACTCTTACGCTCCAATTAATGCTGAATTGAATAGCAAACTAAAGGAAAGGTTGACTTTATACGATCCCCAACCGGTCACTGAAAATTGACCACAAAGTGCCACAATTTTTCATCTTATATTACAATAATACAGTATTACAATATTACTTATTTAAATGGATTATTATAATATTATTTTATTTAATCATTTTTAAAATCAATTTTTGTTAATAATATGTTTTGTTAACTAAATTATTGTTGTAAAGGACATATTTTTATTTAAATATTTATTTTTTAAAATAATAAATTAATTCAATTTTTTCAAAAATTTAATAACAAGACTACCGTTTAAATAATAAAATAATACAATTAATCTAAACACAAACACAACAGAATAATTTTATACAGTATAAAAAAGTATTGCATGTTTTGTATAGACATAATACTGTATATTATTATATACAGTGTATGTACAGTATAAGTATTAAATATAAAGTACTTATATGCATTATACTGATATATATTGTATTAATTTATGATTTTATTGTTTTAAATCGTGATATTTGTATTAACACTATTTTTAATATATAAAACAATATTTTATACTGGACATGCTATGATATTAAATATAAGTTTTTTTAAAGAACATTTTTATTTAATATTTAATTTTTAAATCTATTAATTTATGAAAAAATTATTTATATGTTTATCAACAGAAAAAATTAAAAACGTCTCCATAGATCACGATTTTTATGATTGGCTATGAATTTTTATTATAAATTTATTAGTAAAATAAATATACAATTTAATATTTTGAGCAAATCAACAATAAATTGTTTTGTGTTTTTGCTTTAAATAATTTATTAATTAAAAAAAATAATATAGTGATTGTTTGATAACACACGTAGATTACTATATGAAAACTGAGTTAAAATATTAATGTCACACTAATTATGAAAATTTTTATTGTCATATTATCTAACAATCAAATAAATAGTTTTGTTTCCAAGTAATTTAGATTACTTATAAATTCTAAATAACATCAAATATTGAATAGCCTTCAAAACAATAAAAATATACACAAAAAGATTTTATAAGTAAATAAATGTAATTCAAACATAATAATATTTTATTTCATTAATTGAAATACTTTATATTTATTTTAAATTGCTTTTAATCAAAGACACATTCAATTTTAATGGTGTGATTGAGGAGACCTGTTATAGACCTGTACTATCTCTCGGGGCCAGAGAACAGGTGCTACAAAAGCATCACTTCCTTCATTAAAAACACATAATTCGTGATCTCATTGTTATCACCGCTATATTCAAAACATATTATTTGCTTTTACTTTACTTTGAAAATTCTTAACATAACTTTTGTTGTAAATATTATCAAATAATAAGTAGAGAGTGAACTTATAATTTACTTTTCTTGTTTTCTTAAATTAAATATGCAATAAAATAGAGATAAAATATGAAATAACACGCAAATAAATAATTTTTTAGTATTCTCATTTAATATAATTGTAATTTAGACTTTTTGTTGTAAATATGTATTTTAATAAAACATAAGCAAAATAAAATGTCATTCATTAGGAAATTAATTTCCACTATCTTTTAGCAATTGGTGAGTTCTGGGACACATAATTTTTGCATTATAAATGTGTTTTACCTTTTTGACAATATAGTCAATAAAATCAATTGTTTTTAAAATAACAAACTAATATTTTAATTTTAAATTATTAATATATATTTAGATAATTTATATACAATGCAGCAATGTATAAAACTAATACATCAAATGATAAGTTAGTTGTTATATTTTTGTTTATAACTCACAAATTACTAATTGTTAAACTAATATTATTATAAATCATATCAAAGTTTGAAATTAATATCTTTATGCATAAATATGTAATTAATTATTAATTCAGTGTCTAGTAATACTAAAAAATAGAAATATTACAATAAATAGCATTTTAAATGCTAACTATTTAAAAAAAATTGTATTTCTATAAAATTGTAAGAGAATTCATTTTACAATTCATTAAAATAAAAATAAAACAAATATTAAATTTAAGTTATTATAGTTTTATTATAATGCTATATAACTATTGTTAGTGTTAAAAAATTAATTTCATGTTTTCAAACTCACAGTTTGAGATTTTTAAATAAAATAAGTGAATTTTATTATTATTAACAATCATATCTAATAAAAGGCAAAAACAATACAACAGTTTAGGACTTTTAGAAAAACGTCTTTTCAAAGGTAAGATTCACTGATAATTATATTTTTTCTCTAATCATAAAAATATTTTACAATTTTTTATTACATTACTTTATATTACTAATATAATATTTTTTTCTAATTTATATAATAATTTTGATGATATTATTATTAAATTTAATAAATTTGTGACAATACTATAATAATATCTGATTGGGAAGTGTCAACAATTGTTAGGCCCATCACTCATATCAGTGTTTATTTAGTTGACATTGTATTCAACTTCTTTAATATAAATTGTTATACAGTATTAATACTACTGTATTGTAGTCTATGTACTGTATAGTAGAGTATTAGTAGAGGGTATTCATAGACAGATTATATGATATTATGTGATATAATTGTCATTTGAATGGTATGTTCCCATTATAACTGTCCAAAGGGTGACGCAAGTGATGGTAATGTTAGTGAAGAAGCGTTGTCTGAGTTTGTGTAAAGCCATGGATTCTGTGCTCTCATTCCTCCCATTCCTCTCATTCCGTGTCTATCATTCATAAGTCATATAAATAGTGATCCAAATGTGTTGTCATAGAAACCCATAGCTGTATGACATAGAGTTGTGTGACTTATATTAGTCTATAGTTTGCAATAAAATCAATAAATTTGAGGTTTGGCTTAATATTAGACATATCGTCACATCTCTTGCATAACCATTCACTTGAATCCATACCTTAACACTAAATCAATCATTAATTAGTAATTTGTTGTCAAATATCATCACAATTGCCTCCAAAGTGACCGACAAGTGATCAGCAAATGTCGTCAGTGAAGGCAAAATCCGTCAAAAATAGCCTCTCAGATGACATGAGTGGTTACAGCACTGGTATGTTATTATAATAGTTATCTTTTTTTTATTATATATCATATGTTTTATATTATTTCTATAAATAAGACTATTTTAAACCTATTTTTTTGTAAAAATGTTAATAACATTTAAATATTTTAATTTCATTTGATAATTCATATCATAAATATTTAATAAAAAAAAATATTTTTTACCACTTAATGTATCGATTCATATGTTTTATGTAATAATTGCTATAATATTATCTGATTTATAATTAATGTCTGATTTTAATGCCAACAATTGTTTGGTTGTCTAATGAATTGAATTAATGTGAAAATTAGTTTAAAATAAATGCCACAAAAATCACACCTTTAATGGACTCATAATTGCATTCAATCATACAGTTTGCCAAACAATACGATGCAATGCAGTCATGTTTGACATGATTTTGTTGTTAAACAACACAACTGTCCATTTGTTTTACTAAAACATGTTTTTTAAATATTTATTTAAATAGTTAAAAATTTATACAGTTTTTTATTTCTCAAACTATTTTTATTCATATAACACAAGAATTTAAATATATTTAATATTTAAATTATTGTTATTTAGTAAATAAAGATATTTCCTGTTTTATGATATATTTCATTTAAAACATTAACAAAAATATTTTTATTTTATTTTATTAAATTTATTAAACTGAAATAATTGATAAAAATACTTTAAATATTTATTAAATATTAGCCAATAATTCAGTGAAGCGTTAAAACTAGACAAATAAAAAAATAGTTTTATTAAATTTCCAATAAATATATACATATATAAATAAAATTATTAACATTTAAATATTAATTTTTATTAAATTGAAGTGATAAAAGGTTTTATTTATTTAATAAATTTAATTCAAATTTATTGTTTAATTCAAGTTTATATACAATTAATTTATGACCTTTTTATACGAGAATCTGTTCCACATTTAATACACAATATGTTGTATACCTTATCATTGATATAATAGTCCATTGAATTCATATCTCATATTTGTTTTTGTTATTATTCAAAAAACGATATATTTTTTTTTTTACTTTTTTTCAATCAATCATTTTCATTAAAGATTTAGCACAAACAATATAAAATTTAAGCTTTTTAATTTAAAACTATTACCAAATATTTAATATTAAATATCTATTAAAAATTGTTTTGTAAAATTATTAAGTTATAAAAATTGTTATTTTGAAAATAAATTGTATTAATTTAATCTATGATACAATTTTTAGGTACAGCCGATTCTCCTACTCCTGGAAAACCAGAGGCTAAAAGTACCGTATTTACCATTTATTTTATACTATAATATCAACATTAATTACCACAAGAGATGATTAATTAGTTTTGATTTGATTTGAGAATCTTAATTACATTGAATGTCATTGAAATTGACTTCATTGATGTTGATTGTTAGGGACGCCTCCAATCAAAGCACAGGTTGGTCTGGCCCGTGGACCCGATCTCAAGAATGTTAAGTCAAAAATTGGTTCATTTGATAACGTCAAACACAAACCCAGTAAGAAATTAAGAGAAATTGCATTCATCTCTTTACTTGCTTTTAGTAATAATCAATGAAAAAGTGATTAACGACTAGAAAGTCGAAAAAAGCGAGTTTTAAGAGAATATATATTAATTCAATTCAGATCGATATCAGAGTATTCATTCAATAGATTAATCTCTTTATTGTAGAAATTTTTCATTCATTAAATTATTAAGAAAAATAAAATTTTATGATATATTTTGTAATTAAATGTATTGATTATTAAAATGAATGAAATATATAACAGGTGGAGGAGAGAAAAAGGTTGAGAGCCAGAAGCTTACGTGGAATGTCAAACCAAGAGTCGGATCACTTGATAATGCAAACCACAGACCACGTATGGATACAATTACAACTGTTTTTGCATTTTATATTCAATTTGTTTAAATTGATTTCTTCTTATAGATGGTGGTGATGTCAAACTAGTTTCGCAAAAATTAGAGTGGAAGGTGGCCTCCAAAGTTGGTTCATTGGATAATGTGAAGCACGTGCCGGGCGGAGGACAGATCAAGATATTTGACGAGAAGTACACTAAAAGTCCTGCATCGACACCGACACCACTTTCAGGCACTGTAACGCCCACTCCAAACGGTAAAGAAAATAGTGGAGACATATTGAAAACATTGACCGGTGCGCGCAAATCGGCCGAAATGCTTGAAATGAAAACTCCTTACAGAACTAATTCGGGAACGCCATCATCGGCTACCGACTCCGAATCGGTCACTTCGACTCCCATTAGCTCTGCCTCATCCATGAGGACTGGCTCTTAGGGATTGACAGTGTTTTAGACTATCATACTATTTGTTAACTATATATTCATCTGTCAAATAAAACATTCATTTAATACTTTAGTTTTCTATTAAAAACTAATTATAAAAATAAGAAAAAATAATTATAGAGAAACTCTTTCATTTTAATTAAACAAATAATAAGCTTTTTAACAAAACAATTTATAAACTAATTATTCTATATATTAACAAAAATCTTATAGTTGTACTTAAAAACAGGTATTACTATATGTGGAGTAATTTTTGAACAAATGGCACGATTTGTGCAAATTTTATATAAAAAAGTTTTCTACTAATGTATTACACGTATATAAAAATCATAATTTGAATTAATCTATATTTTAAAAATATTTTACGAATGATTGTACAATTTGTACGGATTTGTTTGTCAATTGTCAAAAGGGTAACTGTAAAGTCAATATATATGATGAGTTGTTTTATGCACCTATTGATCCCACACAAAATATCACTACATTTATATTATTGGTAAAATTAATACCATTTACCAATATTTTTACTAACAATTTGGTTGATTTTCAGATTTATTATTATCATAAATTTATATAACACTTATTACTTTTCATTCCAATAGATAGATATTATATTTGATGTTATTAATAATTATTATTTTACTATTAACTTTATATGATTTATCATTTATTAAGAATATTTCAATATCATAATTAAAAATACTTGAAATCCATGAGATTGATAATTATGATAATTTCTAAGTTATAAAGTAACACATAGTAAACATGAGATACCATTAATTTACAATAAATAAATTGTAATAACTTATTAATATCATTAATATACTTGTGATTTTCAATTATTTTTAAATAAATAAATGTTTTTTCACTATAAATTATAATAAATAAATAATTATTCTTTGATTAATAAATATAAAATTTTACATAAAATTAGTTATACAACAAAATTAATTTATAAATAAAATGTTTTGATGGCATCTTCAGCTAATCTTTTGATGACAATAGTATTTAATACAGGATTAGCTACCAGTGCTCTCTCGAGTTGATTCTTCTGCCAACTAATTATTTGTGTCTTTTCTACAGCCATTAAAGTCATTTTACATACCGGTGTCACACCTTTCTTAGTATTAATAAACCAATGAATGGCATCAATGAATGTTAAATCATTGACTTCTTTGATGAGACAATTATCGCGAAGAACGGCAACTTTACCGCAGTATAGAAGTGATAGTTTGTTGGCTTCAGTCATACTTTCCACACAATATATGTCTCCTTTTTCGAGGATCAGTGTCTCAAATATATTCTTATAAATGATATCATTGAACGTTTTGGTCGATACTTTTCCATCGAAACCTAACTTTTGATATATAGTTTGAGCACTCGATGATAGTCTATTGAAATGTGGAACCATTGCATACAAAATATTGAAGATATGATAGATCTGTATTATAAAAAATATGATATTCCAGGTGAATGTGTCCCACGAACACAACACTAACCAACCCCACAGACCAAATGCCAGAGCAGACAATAACAGACAACATCTCATGTATAGTAAACTATATTTATGGTTAAACTCTATGTTTGCAAATACGATAAATACATTTGCAATTTGAAATAAAAGGTGACTCGGCTTTGACCACACTTCACACGTTAACTTCATTTTACTAATTATTATTATTATTAGTTAAAAACAATAAATCAATTTTAATTATAACTTTAAATATAGTAATTAATTTTTAATTAAATATTTTTTTCATAATGTATTTTAAATACTAGTGTTTGTAAAAATGTCAGACAACGAGACGACAAACTGTCTAAAGACTTATTTAAGTAATTTTAAGTGAAATGATTTCATTTTTATAAATTAATTATAAGGATGTTTGACAAGGATTTAGATTATAATAAATATATTAAATCCTTGATTCACTTGAATTGTGTAATAATTTTATAACCGGAAAGCCATTGAATCACTTGATGACGAAGTAATGTTTAATTGTTTCGTTTATTTGGTTGTATGTGTTGTCAGAGTAATAATAATAATACATTTTTACTTATAATTGCATCAAATCTTCTCAAAGTTTGCGTAAATATGAACCAAAATATTTAGATAATAATAATATTTGTTTAAATTTGTTTGAAAAGTTTAGATTAACTTTTTTTTAACAAAACTAATGTCTCTTTTATTTAATAGCCTGTGGTTTAACAACAGTTTCTCTTCGAGTGCACCAATCGTTTAGATCAACAGTCAAAACATTTAACTATTAGTTCAACAAATCTGAGAAAATCTTATTGAAAATACAAAAATACATCTCTTTTTAAGTATAATTTAAAGCAAACATTTTATACCTTTATTTATTTATTTGACTTTTTTAGTTGTTGTTGTTTTGTTTAAATTGCATTTTTTTGATATATTATTTTCTTTATTACTTATTGTAGTTCATGTAATACAGATATTGAGAAAAAAAAAGTTTTTTCTTATTATTATTAAAATATTGTTATTAGTAAAATCATGAGTTATTCAAGTATAGTATAAAAATAATTTATAATTATCATAACAGAAACAACTGATAAAAATTATGTTTAATATTAATTGTAAACTTTTCTCAAAAAACGAGTTCATATTTATGTATGTAATATATTGTTGTGAGCATTGATTTAAGTAATTAATTGGTTCGCAAATCTATTTTTGTTAACCACTTCTACAGAATATAAAGTAATTGTAAAGACCTGTTGAACTCAATTTATTTTCAATCAGATCTGGTTTTGCAAAATACATATTTATGTTAAAATTATTTGATACTTAAATCAATTACATTATACTGTATGTTACAATTTATTCAGTAATTTCAAAATTCATATACTTATAAAAATACAACATATAAAATATATAACATTTTAAAAATCATTTAGTGTTTTGTTTATTACACTAAATTAAACTGAAACTAATCATAAATTTAATGTTATAGATATACACAATATATTGCATAAATTTCTAGATATTAATAAATTTATTACTTAAAATTTGTAATATTGTGTTTGTTGTAACTGTATTATTATTATAATAATACAGAAATACATTAAAGAAAATATTGATAAGTTAGTAATCATAAAAATTTATAAATTTTATTTTATTTAATAAAATTGTGCTAAAGATTAACAAATTTTAACTTATTTATTTACTGTATACTACTGTACTATACATTGTAGTACAACACTAATATAATACAGTATTTAAAAGTACATTCATTTAATAAATATATAATCAAATAATTTTATATATAGTTTAACAATTATTTGAAACATTTTCCAATTTGTTTTATGTTATAAATTAAAAATTTTTTTGATTTACAATTAACTGATTCTAATTTAATTATTAATAAAAAAAATCAGGTAAATTATTTATTTGTTTTTTACAATATATAAAAAATTATTGTAATAATTATAATTTACAAATAAACAAAAGTTCAGTTTGATTGATAATTCAATTTCATTGATAAAAACTAGTAATTGATTAGTTGTAATAATTTAGGAGTTCATAGCACCGATACAACAAAATATGAATTACATATTATAGTATATTATATAAATATAAAACAATTTTATATAGTAGTAAAAGTAATTCAGTAGAAAATATTCAGTGAATGAATATTAGCCACAAGTGATGCTCCCATTAATAATTGAAGGCATAACTCGTGACTGATTTTTTCAAACTATTTCATCCTATAATAGTTTGCCATCAATTCATTGTATAGTTTTGTTAATATAACCGTTTGGCAAAACCTCTATATCACGATCTGCTCTACTAAACGCTTATTTATATGTTATTATTATTTTTATTATTAGTTATGATAACCAAAATAATTTAAACCTCACTAATGTATAATTCATTGTTAAATCATAAATTGAATTTTAAAAATCAATTGGCATTTTTGTGAAAATATTAATAAATCTAATAAAAACAAAAGTTTTAATAAACAGTATTTTATGACTACTTTATGACAGATAAATATCCACTGAAGAAATATATGTATTATGTATTGGCTATAAATTCAACAAAATAAATGTTTATCGCAAATTCATCGCCTGATATATTGAATACCTCCCTGTGCGCTAACTAGCTATAAGTGCCAATAAAAATGCTTTTAATGTAAAATTATTTAAATATTTTGAGGTTAATTATAAAAGTGATGTTAAAAACAACAAGAGGTTATTTAAATATATGCAAAATGATGTGATCGAGATATTGGTATGAATAACGATAGACACAAAATAAAAAACTAGTTTATTATTATTATATTGAAACTAAGTTTCATTTTCTAGAGGGGGGCTAATAATAATTGGAAGCAAATAATAATTTAAGTATTTTTTAGCTTTGCGAGAAGTTTTAATAGAAAAATACATTAAAATGTTAAATCATGAGAGAGAGAGAGAGAGAGAGAGAGAGAGAGAGAGAGAGAGAAAGAAAGAGAGAACTACTGAGAGACTAAAAAGCGTTTAAATGGTTTGCAGTCAAACATAGACCACATGTTGACTAAAACCAAAGAAAATTTTGAAAACATGTTTTTTGCCGCGTCTTTACAAATCTATAAAACATACAAAATATATCTATATGTATGTCTATGTCTGGGATCAAGTAGTTGTCCGAGTGTTAGCCCAAACTTAATTGAGTTCCCACTGAGTGATGAGTTGAGTGCCAATAACACTGAGCTAACAATATGTAATACACTTTGTGGGGGTATATGTCATCTAAGTTGGGATTGAAATTAAATGAAATTTTATTTTATATGTATATGAGTTACTGTGACTTTTTCAATAACAAGTTGTATACAACAGATGAATTAGTTCAACAAATGATATATAGATCAATAGATTATATCAATTTATGTAATTTATTGCCCCCACTAGACTCTCTCTCTCTCTCTCTCTCTCTATTTTTTTATCAAAAATAGTTTCCCTTACAAAAAATGTTTAATTTTTCTGATAATATATCATTATCATAGATAGAGGAATGTTATATGTATTAAAATTGCTTATAATTTATTTTTCAATTCATCG